GACATCATGGGGAGATTCTCCACTCGAGTCCGCCATACAAATGCTCCACACGACCGTGCATGATTCGCCAGGGGCTCGGCGCGTGCAGGCTTTCATGTAAACGAGTGCCGATGCATTCCGTCGCGCTTCTGCCGGAATATTGGTTCTATGGTGCCGACGTTGGCCAGTTTCTCTAACAGTGCGGGTCGCACGTCGGATTGCACCGTTATTTTACACGGTCTCTCAATATTATATGAACAGCGCATGCCTGCACGAGTCCCTTTCGAGTCAGAACGTCGTGGACAGAAATTGGGATCGTAAATGTTTCAACTGCCTGCACCGCGCTCAACAAAAACACATACAAGTATGACGAGATGCTATGCTGCAAACGGTCTTGCCACCTACCCGCGCGTTTCACTATCTGCAAGTGGCGTAAAGCACAACAGAAGACACGCGAGGACAAGCCATTAGAAGGCGCAGCCAAGGCATGCACGGGGTCTCCGTAGAAGCCATTGGGGCTCTGGATGACGTCGGAGACCCACACGTTGGCATTGCAATTCAACAATAGGTTTTTCAATGATCGCTTCAGAATTGGAGCAGAGCTCCGGTGAACCCACACTCCCGTAGCTCCTTGGGCAATCAATTTGTCAAACTGCTCGTAGTCGTCATCTCTGTATTTGGGAAGGTCGGTGCGGAGCAATCGTTAAACCATTCTTCCGGGACAAACGATGCAGGCAATGGGAAGCTTCCGTCAGGGTTGCAACAGGACATGTTCTAGTCTGGCACCGGGTCTCGCCGTGGTTTCGATCACGCTGTACCTGGGCACGTCCACCACTGGGCGGCGCTCGCGAGTTAGATCTGACACCGCCGGGGCCGGGGTGACGAGCCTCCCCCACACGAACTCCACGCAAACCGTACCGAGAGTCCCGACTGAAGTACCATATCGTCCAAGACTGCATGGAGACGAAGGCATCCTGGCAGTGGGCAGAGAATATCACGCGTGCTGTAAGCGAGTGGTCGGGCAGGGCGGGGTGCCTACCTAACGTCGTAGATACAAGGCCTTGCATCAGAGTGTCCAGCTCCAGCGAGCCTGGGGCCAGGCCGACCGTGGACAGCCCAGCCTCGATGAAGCTCAGCGTCACGGGGTCTGGAATCCGCCTGCGAGGTCAGACTGCAGTTGCCAATCGCGATGGCGCTGGTGAGCTCGAAAACAGAAGGGTTGAGGAAGGGGCCGTTCGAGAGAAGAACTGTGGGGTTGAAGACGAAGGCCCTCAGATGGATCGTCATTGCCATGCCGAACAAACTGCCGTAGAGCAGCGACGTGGAGGCTTGGCAGCGGATCTGGCCGCCGACCGCCGGCCAGGCCGCCGCACGCCGGCGCTGACGGACAGCCAGTGGACTCCCTCTTCATTTGCAGCAACTGCGTCGTGCACCTGGCCAGTAGATCCTTCTTCATCTCTTCTTCTACCTCATCATCGCCCTCGCTCCCGGAATCGACGTCTCGATGTCCGCCGGCACCGCTGCCGTGGCATCCTTTGGGATCGTTGCCGTCGGTGTTGGCCGCGCCTCCAGAATGGAAGTGGATGCACAAGTCAACGTTAAAAAAGATCATGGAGAAGTACCTGACGAGGTGCAAGTTCCTGCCGGCCTTACCCGCAGATGCCAATACTGCCCGTGTCGCCGCACACGTCGAAAGAGGCCAGCACTCTCCTATTCTGGACGAGGAACAGGATCGCGCGTGTGGCCGTCCACGGGGATATTCCACTGTGGCAAAACGTTGCGCTGAGCACGAGCATGTTCCGGCGGTCGCCTTCGCTGCAGCAGGATCTGGATAAAAAGAATCATACATCCCTGATTTGTCCCAAATCGGTATGAGTAAGAAGGGTCCTAGGCAGCGCCTCAAACCGGTTAGCATCATATATGAAAGTGCGCTTTGGCATCGGGACAGCCAGTTCATCACTGTCGCTGTCACTTGGCACGGGCACGTCCTCACCCCTGATGGCTACTCGGACCATGGGGGTGGCCGCGACCGCGCGCGCAGCTCGGGGCGCTCAAGCGAGCCGCAGCTGCTTGAGCCCTTGAGCCGCTGGTGGCCCCACAAGGGGGCCGGCGGACTTTTGAATATGTTTTATTTCTCGTCCAAACTCCGTCTGTCGGGGGACAAGCCCGACCTAAGGGTGGTGCGATGCCCTCGCCGTGCCGCCACCGGCCAGGGCTCGGCTTCAGTTGGCTCTGGGTGCGCGCTGCTGATGCAGGTCCCGATGGAGTTTCCGCTGGCCGTTTTGTGACCCGAGGGTTCATCCGGTGTGGTGACAGCTGACAGCGTGCGGCCGCCAAGAAGGAATCGGGTCCTGAGCGACAAGGAGTCCTGAGTCGTGGTCACCGCTCTGGGCCTCCTGTGCTTCTCTTGGGGGCCGTCGGAAAACTGCGCAGGACGAAGATCTGATCCTGCAGGGGGGAAGGCGCCGATGCCCAGGACCGAGTTCCCTCAGGACCTGCTGCCTTCATGCCAGATACGGGTTTGTGTTGGCATCTGATCTTGCCGCACAGTGCGTGCTTGCACGGTTTTGGGACAGGGGTGATCGGCCTGCCCGCAACAGGCCATCTGCCAAATTGCCGGCGCCCCCGCCGTCCCTGTCAGAAAGAGCATGGTGCAATGCGATCGCACGTGACCCACATGTTTCCGCAAAGAGTGTGTGTGTGTGTGTTGTTGGTTGGCAGGGTTGCTGTGTGTGTGTGTGGTCATGGTTCCGGGTTTGCGCCCGGACGGGGGGGGGGAGGCGGGTGTATATTGATAAGGAGTAGTGATCCACGACTCGATTGGTCTCGCGACGCATGTGAAATTGGTTCGCGGTCTTGCAGTTCGATGGCTGACACGGTCGGTTCTCCTCTCCCCCCGGCCAGAACTCGATCCAATCGAGCCGACGTTGTAACATATCCGATCGGTCTGTGTTTCTTTGGGGGACCACGTGCGGCCAAAGCCGTGGGCGACGGCCTCGCGGGCCAGGCCCCCCAGCTGCGACCCCGTGGATACGTGGCGTTTTCTCTCGTACTTCCTGCGCGGATCGTACCCATCGGACCGCGTATCCACGGGCTCGCGCATTGGAGTCCAGGGGCCCAGACCCCGAGGGCGTGGATGTGAGAAAGAGCGCGTTCTGTGGTAGCTGGGGGGAGGGGGGGTTGGAACCGGAACTCCCCCCTCCCCCCGGATGGAGAGGGGAGGGGGGGAGTTCGAACCCCCCCCGTCTCCTCCTCCTCCTCCTCCTCCCCTATTTCTCCTCTCTCCCTCTCCTCGGGCCGGCGCCTGCGTCGGCGGCGGCTGTCGGCGGCGGCGGGGACGACGACGTCGTTTTTTGGGCCGATGCTGGCGCCTGCGGCGGCGGGCGGCGGCGGAGAGCGTCGACGAGGACGACGGCGACGACGATGACGACGACGACGACGACAACGCTCCGCCACCGTGCCTTGGTTTTGGGTCAGAGTCCTACTGAATGCCTCTTGGGGTCTCGTCGGAGGGCTCTCGGGGGCCTCTGAAGGGCATTTGTGCAGCCTCCTGGGCGCCTCTTGGGCGTCTCTTGGGGCCTCTCTGAGGTGGTGGTGGTGGTGGTGGTGGTGGTGGTGGTGGTGGTGGTGGTGGTGGGCTGCGGTGGTGGTGGTGGTGGGCTGCGGTGGTGGTGGTGGTGGTGGAGGTGGTGGTGGTGGAAGTGGTTGTGGTGGTGGTGGTGGTGGTGGTGGTGGTGGTGGTGGGTGTGGTTGGTGGTGGTGGTGGTTGTTGTTGTGGTTGTGGTGGCAGGTTGTGGTGGTGGTGGTGATGGTGGCGGTGGTGGTGCTGGTGTGGTGGTTTCTGGTGGTGGTAGTGGTGTGGTGGTAGTTGTGGCGGTGGTGAGTTAAGGGTGGCGGTGGCGGTGGCGGTGGTGGTGTGGTAGTGAATTGGTGGTTGTTGTGGCGGTGTTGTTTCTTGTGGTGGTGGTGGTTTTGTCGCGGTGGTGGTGGTTGTGCTTGTGGTTGTTGTTGGTGGTGGTGGTGTGGTGGTTTGGTGGTGGTGGTGGGTTGTGCTGCTGTTGTTGTTGTTGGTGGTGGTGGTGGTGGTGGTGGTGGTGTGGTGGTTTGTTGTGGTGGAGGTGGTTGTGGTGGTGGGTGGTGGTGGTGGTGGAGTTGGTGGTGGTTTGGTGGTGATGTGGTGGTGGTTTGTGGTGTTGGTGGCAGGTTGTGGTGGTGGTGATGGTTAGGTGGTGGTGTGGTGGTGGTTTGTGGTGGTGCTGGTGGTGGTGGGTTGTGGTGGTGGCGGTGGTTTGTAGAGTTGGTGGTGGTGGTGGTGGTGGCGGTGGTGGTGGTGTTGCAGTTTGTGGTGGTGGTGGGTTGTGCTGCTTGTAGTGGTGGTGGTTGTGGCGGTGGTGGTGGTGTTGTGGTAGATTGTGGTGGTGGTGGTGGTAGTAGTGGTGGGTGTTTGTGGTGTTGGTGGTGGTGAGTGGTGGTGGTGGTGGGTGGTGGTGGTGGTGGTGGGTTGGTGGTGGTGGTGGTGGTGGTGGTGGTGGTGGTGGTGGTGGTGGTGGTGGTGGGTTGAGGTGGTGGTGGTGGTGGTGGCGGTGGTGGTAGTGGTGATGGTGGTGTTGGTGGTAGTGCTGGCATTCGTCGCTGAGTCCCGCCGTCGGCGATGCTGGCCGCCGCCAGTGCTGGCGCTGGCGCCGGCGCGGGGGGGGGGGGGGTTGGACCCCCCGCCCCTGGGCTGCCTCTGCGTCCAGCCGTCGGCGCTGTTGGTCGGCCGCCGTCGCCGGCGCCAGCGCCGGCGCCGAGGGGGGGGGGGTTTGAACACCCCCCCACCCCTTGGGAGGGGGGCGGGGTTCGGTTCGGGAGGGGTGGGGGTTTAGGGGGTAGGGGAGCCCCCCTGGTTCTGATCGACGGCGCCGAGTGTTTGGGGGGGGGGCCCCCCCCCGGTTCGAAACGCGCCGCCGAATGTTCCCAAGGCGAACGCCCGTGAAACGCGCTCGCTCGGATGTGGACATGTCCCCCGCTCGCGATGGAAGGCCATCGAGGACGAGGAGGGGTGCATCCGGGCCGCGATCCAGCTGCAGCTGCAGACGGTTGAGCTCTGGAACATGTCCGTGGGGCAGTGGCCCAGCGGCTGCAGCTACTTCCGCAACGCCACCGCAGGCGGCCGCGATACTTCTTCGGCGCGATCGCGCGGCGCGGTCGGGGCCCAGACTTCCGAGGAGGAGTGGGTACCGGCGCCACTACCCTCTCGCGTCGCCACGGCTGGATTCTCCTCGAAGTTTGGTCCAGACCGCACCCCATGAGAGTTCCATGGAGCAACTGTGTTTTTTGTAGGGCGGCCGCAGACTGGGGAGGGGAGCGGGCGGCGCACGTCATGCCCAGGCTCGAGAGGGCGCAAACATAGATTCTGGCGTGTGAGTGGGGACCTAGTGAAACACCTACCACTGGTGATCGTTGTTTCATTGATTGTTTTGCCGATCGGCGCGGGCCCTCGCCCCCCCCCCTGGAGTCCCTGGAGTAGATCTTGGCTGTTTTTTGCGCCTGTTTCGCGCAGGTGGGGTCCCTCCCCTATCTGACGCACTGTTGCAAACAGTTGCGCTAAGCATAGGTCTGGAGCCAGACCCCCCCCTCCGCCCTTTGTCGAAACGCCGAATAAGACAACGCTCACTTGTGGAATTTTCCACGACCCGAGGGCTTTCTGGGGGCCCAGGTGGCCCTGACACGCTCTTCATGAACCTCAGCCCCGACTGCGAGGGCGACGGGCGGTCCGCCAGCGACCTGGCGCATGGCGCCCGCACCCTGATCTGCGCCGGGGCGGCGGCGGGCGTGCCCGCCCGAGAGGAGCCTGCGGCCTGGTCCGCCCAGGACTTCTGGGCCTGGGCCGCCCACGCACGCGTCCAGCGAGGAAGGGGGTGAGGGGGATGGGGGCGTGGGGGAGGAGGAGGAGGAGGAGGAGGAGGAGGAGGAGGAGGAGGAGGAGGAGGAGGAGGAGGAGGGGAGGAGGAGGAGGAGGACGACAGGAAATGGGGAAGGAGGAGGAGGAGGAGAAGGAGGAGAAGGAGGAGGACGAGGAGGTGCTGGTGGTGGGGCTGGAGAATCAGGAGGAGGAGGAGGAAGAAGAAGAGGAGGAGGAAGATGAGGAGGAGGAGGAGGAAGAAGAGGACGAGGAGGAGGAGGAGGAGGAGGACGAGGAGGAGGAGGAGGAGGAGGAGGAGGGGAGGAGGAACAGGTGCTGGTGGTAGGGTTGGAGAATATGGAGGAGGAGGAGGAGGAGGAGGAGGAGGAAGAAGAGGATGAGGAGGAGGAGGAGGAAAGGAGGAGGAGGAGGAGGACGACGACGACAGGAAATGGGGAAGGAAGAGGAGGAAGAGAAGGAGGAGGAGGAGGAGGAGGAGGAGGAGGTCTGGTGGTGGGTCTGGAGAATATGGAGACGGCGGAGGAGGAGGAGGAGAAGGAGGATGGGAGGGGAGGAGGGGAGGGAAGAGGAGGGGGGGGAGGAGGGGAGAGGGAGGGGGGAGGAGCAGAGGTGGAGGGGAGGGAGGAGGGGAGGGAGGGGATGAGGAGGAGGAGGAGGAGGAGGAGGAGGAGAGGGAGGAGGACGAAGGAGGGACAGGAGGAGGAGGAGGAGGAAGAGGAGGAGGAAGAGGAGGAGGAGGAGGAGCAGGAGGAGGTGCGGTGCTGGTGATAGGGTTCGAGAATATGGAGGGGGAGGTGGAGGAGGAGGACGAGGAGGAGGAGTACACCTTCTGTTGCCCCAAAGGGAACTCCATTGGAGGCCCCAGTGGCAGCGCCCGCGTGCGGACCCACTTCCGATTTCAGAGCACCCCTCACCCGTTTCGTGGGCCCACAGGGAGTCCCACCGAAGGCCTTAGTGGCAGCGCCCGCATACGGTTCCACTTGTCATGTCGGCATACCCTTCAGACGTTTCCTGGAATAGGAAGCTCCACCGAAGGCCCCAGTGGCAGCGCCCGCATGCAGTTCCACCATTCCAGCTCGGGGCGTCCCTCAAACGTTTCGTGGTATAGGGAGCTCCACCAAAGGCTCCAGTTGAAGCGCCCACATGGTGTACCCGCACCAATCGGCACACCCGTCGCACGCGTCGTGGCTTGATAGGGAGTTTCGCCTGGGACGGTCATCACAACCGCATTGCTCGCAACTGCATTTTGTTGGGTCCATTGCCAGGACGCTGTTTTTTGTCGTGGCAAGTGCCCCCCGATGGGGGGACAACATGTTCTGGAATTCAAAATCGTGCCAATACATTATTACTGAGACCTCAGCGCTGCGAACCAACTTGATTGTTGCATCCTGACACGTCTCGATCGCGGCAGAACGCCATTCCTGGTACTTCAAACGCACGAACTCTTGACACTGTTGTAAACTCCTACGGCGAATGTGCATGGCGTTAAGGCGAGAGTCACATGCTGAAAACTGCACGCCCTCCATCTATGAGAATGCTGCAATCTTTTTCAGACGAGTGTGCGCGGCGCTATGGCGAGAGCCACGTATTGAAAGCCACACGAGCTCTATGCGTGAAGCTGTTGTAAGTTGTTATGACGAATGTGCGCGGAGCTGCAGCGACCACATTTTGAAAGCCAGATGCCCTCCATCCTTGAAGCTGCTGCAAGCGTTTAAGACACATGCGTGCGACGCTTAGGCGATAGCACATTTTGAACACCACGCACCCTCCGTCCGTGAAGCTGCTGCGCACGCTTTAGACGAATGTGCGCGGCGCTATTGCGAGAATCTCATGTTTGAAAATGCCCCATGAAGGTGTTACACATTTCAAGCTGTAGTGTCATAAGTGGTGAGGTAGTCTCAGGGAGAAGATATTGATCACGAGATGGGGTTGAGGAATATGGGAAGGAGGAGATGGAGGAGGAGGAAAATGAGGAGGTGGGAAGGGAGGAGAGGGGGGATGAGGAGGAGGAGGACCTATGTACACCCAAGACTGCTCAACGATCTTGCAATACACCCTCCCTCCAAGTTCCCTCTTCACCGGCCCTTACATATGCAAGTGCGCGCCCGTACGGAACTCAATACTAACAGGGGGCACCCAACTTCAAGCTACCCCTCCCCCCCCTCCTTCGAAAGGGGGGGGGTGCTTCCGAAGCTACCCCCCCCTCCCTCCTGTAAGGGTTTCTAAGCTAGGGGGGCCCTGGCTAAGAGGGGGGGGGGGCTTCGAAGCTATCCCCCCCCTCCCTCCCTTTTCCGGACAGAAGGTGAGCCCGGGCTTCCCTTTCAAAGGGGGGGGGGGCTTCGGAAGCTACCCCCTCCCTCCTTCCTCTTTTGGTCTGGACACAGGGGGGGGCGGCTTCAAGCTATCCCCCCCCCTCCTGTGCAAAGGGGGGGGGGGGTTTCCGAAGCTACCATCCCCCCCCTTCCTTCCGAAGCTACCTTCCGCTGGCAAAATGGCGGAATCCTTGGCGACAGGTGCGCACCGCAGCGCTAGAGAACGAATTGGAGAATATCGTCGACTCCTGGTTCGTTTTCTTGTTTTCTCGTTTTCTCGGCCCCTGGTTTGTAGTCTCGTTTTCTCGGACCCTGATTCTTGTTTATCGTTTTCCCATTTTCTCGGCCCTCTGTTCGGGTCGCGGTTCGTTGTTTCGTTTTCTTGTTTTCTCGGCCCCTGGTTCGTAGTCTCGTTTTCTCGGGCCCTGATTCCTTTTATTGCTTTCTCGTGTTCTCGGCCCCTGGGTCGTGGTCTCGTTTTCTCGGACCCTGGTTCGTTGTTTCGTTTTCTTCTTTTCTCGGCTTTTGTTTTTGTGTTGTTTGTTCGGGCCCTGGGCCGGGATCTCGTTTTCTTGTTTTCTCAACCCTTGGGTCGTGGTGCCATTTTTCCTCGGACCCTTGTTAGTTTTATCGTTTTCTCGTGTTCTCGGCCCCTCGTTCGTGGGTCTCGTTTTTTTTTTTTCTGACCCTGGTTAGTTTTTTGTTCTCTCGGTCCCTGGATCGTGGTCCCGTTTTCTCGGACCCTGGTTCGGTTTCTCGTTTTCTCCGTTTCTCGGCCCCTGGATTGAGGTTTTGTTTTCTCTGACCCTGGTTCGTTTTCTTGTTTTCTAGTTTTCTCGGCCCCTGGGTCGTGGTCTCGTTTTCTCGGGCTCCGGTTCGTTTTCTCGTTTTCTCGTTGTCTCGGCCCCTGGGTCGTGGTCTTGGTTTCTCGGGCCACGGTGTGTTTTCTCGTTTTCTCGTTCTCTCGGCCCCTGGATTTTTGTTTTCTCGACCCTGGTTCGTTGTCTTGTTTTCTCGTTTTCTCTGCCTCTGGGTCGTGGCCTCGTTTTCTCTGACCCTGGTTCGTTGTCTTGTTTTCTTGTCTTATCGTCCCCTGGGTCGTGGTCTTGTTTTCTTGGACCCTGGTTCGTTTTCGCGTTTTCTTGTTTTCTCGGCCCCGGGGGCGTGGTCCGGTTTCTCGGACCCTGGCTTGTTTTACCGTTTTCACATTTTCTCTGCCCTTTGGTCGTGGTCTCGTTTTATCGGGCCCTGGTTCGTTTTCTCGTTGTCTCGTTTTCTCGGCTCCTGGGTCGTGGCATTGTTCTCTCGGGCCCTGGTTCGTTTTCTCGTTTGCTCTGCCCCTGGGTCGTGGTTTGGTTTTCTCGGGCCATGGTTCGTTTTCTTGTTTCTTTTCTCTGCCCCTGGGTCGTGGTCGGTTTTTCTGACCCTGTTTCGTTTTCTCGTTTTCTCTGCAGTTTCTTGTTTTATCGTCCCCTTGGTCGTGGTCTTGTTTTCTCGGACCCTGGTTAGTTTTATCGTTTTTTTGTTTTCTCGACCCCTGGGTCGTGGTTTCGTTATCTCGCACACTGATTTGTTTTCTCGTTGCCTCGTTTTCTCGGCCCCTTTTTCGCAGTTTCGTTTTCTCGTGCCCTGATTCCTTTTCATCGTTTTCTCATTTTCTCTGCCCCTGGGTCGTGGTCTCGTTTTCTAGGACCGATGTTCGCGTTTTCTCGGCTCCTGGGTCGTGGTCTCGTTGACTCGGACCTTGGTGTGTTTTGTCGTTTTCTCGCGTTCTCGGCCCCTTGGTCGTTATCGTGTTTCCTCGGACCCTGGTTCATTGTCTCGTTTTCTCGAATTCTTGGCTTCTGGGTTTTTGTTTCGTTTTCTTGGGACCTGGTTCGTTTTCTTGTTTTTATCGTTTTCTCGACCCTTGGGTTGTATTCTCGCTTTCTCGGGCCCTGGTTCGTTTTCTCGTTGTCTCGTTTTCTCGGCCCCTGGGTCGAGGTTTCGTTTTCTCGGGCACTGGTTTGTTTTCTCGCTGTCTCGTTTTGTCGGCCCCTGGATCGTGGTCTCGTTTGATCGGACCCTGGTTCGT